TGTTGGTTAGTACAGGTTAACAACAGTAGTTCAGATGATTGATCACTATGTGTTTGTAACAGTTGACAGTGTTGGTTAGTACAGATAAAACAGTAGTTCAGATGATTGATCACTATGTGTTTGTAACAGTTGACAGTGTTGGTTAGAACAGATAAAACAGAAGTTCAGATGATTGATCACTATGTGTTTGTAACAGTTGACAGTGTTTGTTAGTACAGGTTAACAACAGTAGTTCAGATGATTGATCACTATGTGTTTGTAACAGTTGACAGTGTTGGTTAGTACAGATAATAACAGAAGTTCAGATGATTGATCATTATGTGTTTGTAACAGTTGACAGTGTTGGTTCGTATAGATAATAACTGTAGTTCAGATGATTGATCACTATGTCTTTGTAACAGTTGACAGTGTTGGTTAGTACAGGTTAACAACAGAAGTTCAGATGATTGATCACTATGTCTTTGTAACAGTTGACAATGTTGGTTAGAACAGATAAAACAGAAGTTCAGATGATTGATCACTATGTGTTTGTAACACTTGACAATGTTGGTTAGAACAGATAAAACAGAAGTTCAGATGATTGATCACTATGTATTTGTAACAGTTGGCAGTTTTGGTTAGTACAGGTTAACAACAGTAAGTTCAGATGATTGATCACTATGTGTTTGTAACAGTTGACAGTGTTGGTTAGTACAGGTTAACAACTACTGTTCAGATGATTGATCACTATGTGTTTGTAACAGTTGACAGTGTTGGTTCGTATAGATAATAACTGTAGTTCAGATGATTGATCACTATGTGTTTGTAACAGTTGACAGTGTTGGTTAGTATAGATAAAACAGAAGTTCAGATGATTGATCACTATGTGTTTGTAACAGTTGACAGTGTTGGTTGGTACAGATAATAACAGAAGTTCAGATGATTGATCACTATGTGTTTGTAACAGTTGACAGTGTTGGTTAGTACAGATAACAACAGAAGTTCAGATGATTGATCACTATGTGTTTGTAACAGTTGACAGTGTTGGTTAGTACAGAAACAACAGTAGTTCAGATGATTGATCACTATGTGTTTGTAACAGTTGACATTGTTGGTTAGTACAGATAACAATAGTAGTTCAGATGATTGATCACTATGTGTTTGTAACAGTTGACATTGTTGGTTAGTACAGATAACAACAGTAGTTCAGATGATTGATCACTATGTGTTTGTAACAGTTGACAGTGTTGGTTAGTACAGGTTAACAACAGTAGTTCAGATGATTGATCACTATGTGTTTGTAACAGTTGACAGTGTTGGTTAGTACAGGTTAACAACAGAAGTTCAGATGATTGATCATTATGTGATTGTAACAGTTGACAGTGTTGGTTAGTATAGATAATAACTGTAGTTCAGATGATTGATCACTATGTGTTTGTAACAGTTGACAATGTTGGTTAGTATAGATAAAACAGAAGTTCAGATGATTGATCACTATGTGTTTGTAACAGTTGACAATGTTGGTTAGTACAGATAACAACAGTAGTTCAGCTGATTGATCACTATGTGTTTGTAACAGTTGACAATGTTGGTTAGTACAGGTTAACAACAGTAGTTCAGATGATTGATCACTATGTGTTTGTAACACTTGACAATGTTGGTTAGAACAGATAAAACAGAAGTTCAGATGATTGATCACTATGTATTTGTAACAGTTGGCAGTTTTGGTTAGTACAGGTTAACAACAGTAGTTCAGATGATTGATCACTATATGTTTGTAACAGTTGACAGTGTTGGTTAGTACAGGTTAACAACAGTAGTTCAGATGATTGATCACTATGTGTTTGTAACAGTTGACAGTGTTGGTTAGTACAGGTTAACAACAGTAGTTCAGATGATTGATCACTATGTGTTTGTAACAGTTGACAGTGTTGGA